AATGAAGTGCTTAAGTAATAGTAGCTCTTAGCATAATCTAGCAAAATATAATTTTTTTGAGGAATAAAAAGGTCAGTATCACTAATTGGTAGAATTAAAGGCAAGGGAAAATGAAAGTACCCAGCAATTTTAATCTGCCCTTAAGACTAAATATCCTCCACTGCTTTGGCTGTTGCAAAGCTGAGAGCCAGACTTATTCTTTAAATTTATCGATTAATTTGAGAGAGAGAGAGATTGATGTGTGCCATGACCATGGCCAGACTTATTCTTGAGGCTTATTCTCATATTCATTTGGTTTCATGGTCTACATGCAAGCTGATAGTGATTTGCTCTAGGATCCAGAGCCATATATATATGTGGAAGTATAAAATTTAAAATAAGGAAAATGTATTTTTTCTTAAACTTTGCTAAATGAAACCCAATATGAATTCTTCATACACAAGTACACATGAAAATGACAGAATTAGCCTTACTTTTCTTTATAGAGGAACTAAAGGCCCAGTGCATGAAATTCGTGCGTGGGGGGGGGGGTAGGGAGTGGGGGTAGGGAGGGGGTCTCCTCGGCCCAGCCTGCACCCTCTCCAATCCCTAGGATCGGGCCTAAATCAGCATTTGGACATCCCTCTCATAATCCTGGACTGATGGCTCCTAACCACTCACCTGCCTGTCTGTGTGGTTGCCCCCAATTGTCCCCCTACTGGACTAGTTGCCCCTCACTGCCCCCTGCCAGCCTAATTGCCCCTAACTGCCCCCCCCCCCTGCAGTCCTGGCTGCCCTCATGGTCCCCCTGCTGGCCTGGTCACCCCATGCAGCCTGCTGTTCAGTCCTTTGGTTGTCCCTTACTAACCCCCTGCCAGCCTGGTTGAAGGCAGCCACCTTTGACGGTGTGACAGTCAATTTGCATATCACCTCTTTATTATATAGGATGGAACTTTTAGTGAATATCTGGGGTAGGATAACAATGGAGAGAAAATGGGGGACATCTATATACTCTCAAAGATTATTATTTCCTCTGTAACAGGAAACTCTGAGGAAAAAACTAATATATCTATGAAATAGTTGTGTTTCATGTATTGATTCATAGGCACCACTATTTAGCATATAAGGAAATAATGGGGATTTTCATTTAAATCAACTTGAAACTGAATGTAAACTTCCAGGAAATTTAAGCTTTGTTGTTTACAACAATTGTCTCTTTCTTCCTAGAGTTTTGTACCTCAGGGACCTTACCACTATCCCATTTAAAATAAATTTCTGCACACCCTCAGAGAACATTTTATATACCTTTAAAAAATGTGGTAAAAAATTACACAAAACTCACCATTTTAAGCAAACAATTCAGTGGCATGAAGTACACTGACAATATTTCATAATCTTCACCACTACCCATTTTCAGAACTTTTCCCCAAAACTCTGTACCCATTAAACAGTAACTCTCCTCTCTTTTCCAAGTTCCTGGCAACCATCATTCCTCACCTCCCTAGGCCTTGGTAATCTCTATTCTGCTTTTTGTTTCTATGAATTAGCCTATTCTATGTACCTCATAGAAGGGAAATCATATGTTTGTCTGCCTTATTTCAATTAACATTATGTTTTTAAGAGTCATTCATGTTGCAACATGCATCAGAATGTCATTCCTTTTAATGGCTAACAATTTCTATTGTACATATATGCAACACACATTTTCTTTATTCATGTATTGGTTGAGGGACACTAGAGTTGTTTCATCCTTTTGGGTAATGTGAAAAATGCTGTTATGAACATTGGTGTGCAAGTATCTGGTTTGAGCCATTGCTTTCAATTATTTTGGGTTGTATAGGTAAGTGGGGAATTGCTGGATCATATGGGACTTCTGTGTGTAACTTTTTGAAGAACCACCAAACCATTTTCCACAGCAGATGTAGCATTTTACATTCCCATCAGCAATGCACAAAAGTTCTCTGTACCTTTTATTTTTCCCAAAAAGATGGATCTCCCCGAAGGATTCAGCTTTCCTATTTTTCTTGAGGGGATACAACACATTTTTTTCATACATCCCATACTGCATGGTTTTTTTTCTTTTGCTACAACTAACTATACATTACTCTTCATTTCAACATGTAACTTTTTTTTCAAAAATATATTTTATTGATTTTTACACAGAGAGGAATTGAGAGGGATAGAGAGTTGAAACATCGATGAGAAAGATACATCAACCAGCTGCCTCTTGCACACCCCCCACTGGGGATGTGCCCGCAACCAAGGTACGTGCCCTTGACCGGAATCGAACCCGGGACCTTTCAGTCCACAGGCCGAAGCTCTATCCACTGAGCCAAACCGGTTTTGGCTCAACATGTAACTTTTATCTATCAATTGCTAGGTCACTTTCTATTATTACATTTACACAGTACCCCAACTTGTGCCAATATTTTCAGAGACAATATCCAAATGGGCATTTTATATTTTAGTGCCATCAATCTTTCACTTCATAGCTATCACCTTCTCTCAATTCCAACCACCCATTTTTTTAAAATATATTTTTATTGATTTTTTACAGAGAAGAAGGGAGAGAGATAGAGAGCTAGAAATGTCGATGAGAAAGAAACACTGACCAGCTGCCTCTTGCACACCCCCTATCGGGGATGTGCCTGCAACCAACGTACATGCCCCTGACCGGAATCGAACCCGGGACCTTTCAGTCCACAGACCGAAGCTCTACCACTGAGCCAAACCGGTTTCGGCCCAACCACCCATTTCTAAGGCAATGCCTTAAACATTGTCACTGCTCAGATTGAGTGCTTCATCTCATATCTTAAATAGCTCCACTTTCTGACTGTGACTTCCAATCCTTTCAACTCTTAAAAATTTGTATCACCTCTACATTTATTCTATGATCTCCCTAAGATTTGTGATTTCTTGATTCCTCCTTTTGCTCTCAAGCATACATGTCCTTTCAATTTTATTTCTTGTCCTATTGAGCTTAGACTACCACTCAACATTTCAACAACTCTTCTGCTAGTGTGCAATCACTCTTCTCTCCATAATTTTAGTCTTACAAATTCATAATCTTGAACCATTTGATCATTTGCCTTCGGTGCTAATTGCACAATCATACAAACTGGAACTCATACAAATTCATGGCATTCGTTCTCAGATCAGTCTTTAAGATTGCTTAACTTTGCTCTTTTCTTTATTCAGTTATTTTCTCCCCTTACATTCAGTATTCCTTTCAAAGCTGCCTGCCTTTTTACTTCAGAAGCCCTGAGTGACCCTTATTTCACAGAGAAGTTATTAATTGTGAACTGAACTTTACATTCCCTGCTCTTCACATGTCTTTCACCCGTGTCTATGAGCATAAGGTGATCATCTTTCTGTTGAAGGCAAACTGTTCTGCATTCGGCAGATTCCATCTCAGCCTACTTTAGAAATGCTGTTTCATAAAAATTCTCTCTATTGGCTCCTTCCAATTAGTCATACACATGCTCAAGTATCTGCCATTTTTCAAAACCAAAACCCTAAATCCTTAACCTACCTTCCATTCACCCAACTATCATTAACATCTTCCTTATTCATATTTATTTTTATGTTTATTTCTTATAAAAATATTTTTATTGATTTCTAGAGAGAGATAAAGGGCTTATTCCCTGACTGGGAATCAAACTGGCAACCTGTTGGTGCACTGGATGATGTCCAACCAAGCAAGCTACACAGGTCAACGGCTGTTTCTTCATGTTTCTTCAAGGGCCACTCTATTGTCCAAACTGCTATGCTTCTTTACTTCTAATCCCTTCTCAACTCTCAGAAAATTGGCTTCTATACCTAATACTTTATTAAAGCCACTGTGGAGGAGGTCATTAATGATGACCTAATTTCAAACAAAATAGATACTTTTAGTCTTTATTTTACTTTACCATTAGCAATATTGGATTTTTTAAATCTCCTTCCTTAGCTTCAGTGAAATCATAGTTTTTCATTTTACTCCTATCTCACTGACTTCTTATTATAAAAAGAAATTTATCTTAAAATTAGTGGAGCACTAAAATTAAGCCAAATATGTGCTAAGATCTGTATACACTTAAAACAATTCTACTAGGTAAGAACTATAATTCTCATTTTATAAAAAGAAGGTGGTCTGGGTGATGCTCCTCTATGCAAGGTCACATGAGGCAGGGATGTCCAACAATTAACAATAAGGAGGGAATATGCTAATTGACTGCCTCACCCTCAAAGACAGTGGTGCCCACAGACACAAGATGGTGGCTCCCAGTCCCCTCAGCCCTTCCTGCCTCTGGAGTCCCCCAGTCTTCTCAGCCCCCGAGCCACCCAGGGCTAGCCAGAGGTACAGGCAAGCCCCAGATGGCGGCTGCCCAGCTGCCTAGGGCTCCCTGGGGCTCAGGTAACCAGGGCTGGCCGAGGCTTGCACTGCAGCACTGGCAACGGGGCAGTGGAGGCACTGCCGGCCCTGATGGGCTCCAAGGAGAGCGGGACAGGGGTGCGATGGTGGAGCAGGTGAGCAGGTGGCACCAGGCCAAGGCGGGTGTGAGCGGGGTCCCATGGCCCTGCCAGTCCATCACCACACAGATGGTGACCAGTGGACTGGGGGGGCAAGCTGGGGCTGTGAGCCTGGGGGCGTGACCTGGGGCCCCCTTCCCGGATCCCCACAGGCCACCCTGAGGGACCCCACCCATGCATGAATTCGTGCATCGGGCCTCTAGGTGAAAAGCTTTATTACTGATATTCATGTGCCACTTTAAAAATATATGTCATCATTTTAGAGGTGGCATTTAGGTGAGTCAATTGTTCAACAGCTGACCAGGCTCCATTTAGACAATTGGTTATGAGTTATATGTTTTACAAATCTGATGGGAGTCTAAACTTAAACCTTACCAAATGCAGGAAGAAAAAGAGGTAAATTACAAAAAAAAATGCTTTAAGTACATGATGTTTAATTTCATTGAGGTATTTCCTCAAGCATTTCCCAAACCAACACTCACTTATGATCAGAATAAGAAGAATTTTACCTGTAATAAACTCGAAGTGTCTGGATTTCCTCCTCCAGTTTTTTGTACTGTTGAACTGCAGTTTCTCTGGCTTGTTGCATGGCTAACAACTTTGCCTGCAAACAATCAAATATTTAAGAAATTTAAAATTAGTTCCTTTTTTAAAATTAGTTTTATATGGTAAAATACAGTAATAGAGTATGAATAGGAGTCTTAAATTTATGAGAGTTTTAAACCTATCATAATTTTTAGGAATGTTTAATCCGTTTCCACAAAATAATCCAATTATATCAATACTGTAGAAATACTGTAGACTTGAACCTATTAAATATACCAACTTTGCTCATTCCTAAACTTCAACCTTATTCATCTGTATCATCAGATATATGCCCTTCTGCAATGTTTAACTTTAGCACAGAATCCAGCATGTGGAACAGGGGTTCAGAACGATATCAAGAGTAGAGATAAGCACACTGGGTGTTTCAGATACAAGTTTAATGTGGCTCCACTGCCCGATCAGACTAGATTTTCTTTTAACTTTATTAATAGTAAAACTCAGAAAATTCTAAATATGTTGCTAAGCCATCTTTGATATTTAACATTAAACACACACACACACACAAGGCTGATCCTACAGATATGATTTAACCTTTTCTGCAGGAAAAAAAAATCTTTAAAGGGAGAAATCCTGAATATTAGAGATACTTTATAAAATAAATACTATTGTTCCTCTCTGCCTATAAGATTCAAACTAAAGGTTCTGCAATCAGAATTTCTATAGGATTTTAAAAAGAATTGTCAGCTTCTAATCATCATTCCCATTGGATTTCAGGCATAGCCAAAATGTTCTTAACTTTTAAAATATGGCACTGAAAGATCAGGTTTCAGTTTTATTTACTTGGAGTTTAATTTGCATGAAAACAATGTCTTTCACTTTAAATGATGCTTGATAGATAATACAGAGCAAATTATAATCACACATCTCACAAACTATACTAATGGCAATAGAGGCAGAGATTCACTAATTTTGGTGAACTCATATGATTTGCTGGAATTATTTTCTTACATAAGGATGAAGTTATAAGACAAACTGTGAAATCCAGATCATAGTGTGATATACATGATCAAAAAACATGCCACTTTTCTATTTTAATAATGGAGAATTATAAAAACATGCAGCAGTTTGTACCTTTGTGTATACATTTAGGCACTCAATTAATTGATTTTTCTCTAGCTGGGCTAGCAAATTCTAACAGTTACCATATACAATAGAATGCTACTCAGCCATAAGAAAATATGAAATACTGCCATTTGTGACAACATAGATGGGCCTTGAGAACATTATGCTAAGTGAAATAAGTCATGCAGAAAAAGCTAAGAACCATATGATTTCACTCATATGTGGGCTATAAAACAAACTTGTGGACACAGACAGCAGAGTGATGGCTGCCACAGGAAGGGGAGAAGGGAGTGGAGGGATCTAATATGAGGTGAAGAAAGATCACTTGACTTTGGGTGGTGTGCGCACAGTGAAATATACATATCTGGTAACATACAGATCCACACCTGAAACCTGTATGATTCTACTGACCAATGTCACCCCAATCAATTTAATAAAAAAATTAAATTAGCACTTGTTTTATGTCACATTCTAGAATCATAGATGAAACACTCTCATAAATTATTCAAAAGCCTTTAAAATAAAAATAGGTGCCTGGTTCTTGATGCCAATAATGAACAACTTTGCCAACTTTCGGTATATTACAAAATGTGACTGAAATAGTACCTTTGGAGACACAGATACCCACTGGGTCAGTGGCAAAAAGAAAAAGATTCACACAAAAGACCACATATCATATTAAATTTACATTTATTTAAGAAATATCCATATTAGGAAACAATTTGTTAAATAAATGCTACCTTAATTGATTATTCTGACCTTTTTTACCTGGTACTTCTAGGGCGGGGAAAAAAAACACAACCCAAAAATATAAACCCATGTTCTAGCAGGAAAATGCCAAAAAGAAGATTCTGCTTAAGAAAGTTCTGCCATAAAAATGGAATAATGAAAACTTTACTTAAATTCCTAAGTTTCAGGTAATAATGAACATTTCACTATCCACATTTAGTTGGTTGTAAAGGTTTGGTGTTGTGTCACAGCAATCAACTTAATTTATCAATTCCAAACATCTAATCTTCTGCGGAGGCACTGGAGACCGCCTTAGAAGCTATGATAAACTTTGAGGCTTTACAACCTCCTTCCTCTATCAGATATGTTTTTATCTGGCCAGCACATCTTTTTTTGTGGGAAATGCCCTTAGCCTATGTCACAGTGATCTTGTTCAGTCCTGGGGCATAGGATGAACTCAGGTAGATATGACTCAGGCTGCTCTAGGAGAAAACCATTCGAAGGAGAAAATAATCCTGATGACATCATTTGTGTCCCCAGATCCCCAAGGACCAAACAAATTCTTACCCATTTCTTGGACTTCTTGGGTACAGTAACCCTTTTTTATCTTTGGGTTATGCTAGTTTGACTTGGATTGATGTATATGTAATGTAAGAAAAGAAAACTACAAAAAAAAAAAAAAGAAGCTAATTTAAATGAGCTGTTTCTATTGCATTTTCTAATTTCATTAATAGTACATAATTTCATTAATAGTACACATCAGAAATAAAATTCATATCACCAACATTAAGAAAATTAACAAATCAGATGTTTTCCCTGGTTTTGTGCGATTATATTTCCCATAATCTTTGGCAATTATTTTTATAAAAACTACATGCATTCACTTATGTTTATACTCACATAAAAATACATGTAAAAAAACAAAATTCAAAAAGTATAAAAAAGATACAATGTAAAGTAAATCTTTCTGCCATCTCCAACTCTCAGAACTACAAATCCTCTCTGATACAATATTATTAGTTACCTGTTTGTTGTATATCCTTCCAGAGATAGTGTACACATATATGTATATTTGCAACTAAATATACCTATGTATAATACTGATGACATTCTTTACAATTATAAATCTTATTTTGCCTCCTTAAAAATTTCTTCCACCCCAACACATGCATCACCCTGACTGGTCACATTCCCTCCCTTTTATCCCACCCCTAAAGTGAAACACGTGCAAGAATTTGGTTCATCATTTTCAAATACATAGTTATGCACTTACAGATAATATAGCTCACTGTTTACAGGTCTTTAAACATTATATACAGATACTCTAGATATTTCACAATTGATTTTTTGGTCCATATTATACTTCTATTATTGTTATTGATACAAGAATGCATTCTGATAACACTTATCTTTATACAATGTCCCCCTGTGCACCATTACAGTCAATGCCCTCATGTTACACCCAACCCCTGTCAATCACGTATGTGATTTTTATCCCTATAGTTTTTCCTTTTCTAGGATGCCAGATAAATGGATTCATGTGGTAGGTAGCCTATTGAATTTGACATCTTTCACTTAATGCTTTTGGGATTTGTTCATATTACTACATGTATCAGTTCATTCCTTTATATCACTGAGTAGTACTCCATTGTATGGATATAACATAATCTGTATATCCATTCATTAGTGGGTGGACATTTGGGTTGTTTCTAGCTTTTGGAATTATTTAAAAAGCTGCTACAAACATCTGCATATAGGTAATTTTATAGAAATATACTTTCATTTCTCCTAAATAAGTACCAAGGAGTGGAATTATTGATTTCTATGCTACATGTGCATATATAATACACTAGTGGCCCGGTGCACACAATTCGTGCACAAGGAGGAGGAAGAGGTGTCCCTCAGCCAAGCCTGCACCATCTCCAATCTGGGACCCCTCAGGGGATAACCGACAGTCGGATATCCCTCTCACAATCCAGAACTGCTGGCTCTTAACAGCTCACCTTCCTGCCTGATTGCACCTAACTGCTTCTACCTGCCAGGCTGATTGTCCCTAACTTCTTCCCTGCTGGCTTGATTGCCCCTAACCTCTGCCTTGGCCCTGCACCCAGGACTCAGGATACCCTCCTCCAGCTGGCTACAGGCATCCAGGATCAGGGCTTCCTTCCCTCTGGTCAGCCATAGACACCGAGGGCTGGCTTCACCTGGGCTGGCTGCAGCCACAGGGGACGGTGGCTTTGCCTGGGCTGCAGCTGCAAGTGCTGGCACCCAGGACTGTGGGGTGGGTGGCTTCTCCGTCTGCGAGGCCATAGCCAGTCACAGGTGCTGGCGTCTGGACCGCAGGTAGGCGGCTTCTCCATCTTCCCTGGGGTGCAGTGTGGGTGGCTTCTCCGGTTGGCTGCAGCCTGGGATCGCGGGGTAAGTGGCTTCTTCATCTCCCAGGCTGCAGCCAGCCTCAGGCTCTGGCGCCTGACTTCTCCATCTCCCCCAACTTCTAAAGGCTTGGAGTAGCTGGGGGGCGGGGCCGCTGCCATCTTTGTCAGGTAAATTTGCATACTCACTCCTGATTGGCTTGTGGGCATCACGGAGGTATGGTCAATTTGCATCTTTCTCTTTTTTTAGTGTAGATATACTGTCTATATATAACATATATGTACTTTATAGAGTTCTGTAGATTATAAACTATTAAACTTGTTGCCTAAATTTATATAACTTTCAACAATCTATGCTTAACTACTAGCAATGCCACTTATTAAATGCCTACTAAAGGAGGTCGGGCACTGTATCAAGTGTTTGAAATACATCATATAGTCTATCCTTACTATGAGATAATTCCTTACCATTCCTATTTTATAGGTGATAAAAATGAGACTCATAGACATTAAATCACATGTAAATATAACACAGCTATTGACTAATACAACTGAAATACAAATTCAGGCCTGTCTGGTCCAAATACATTGTATTTTCCCTTTACACACACACAGATACACACAAACACACAATGTGCACACATTTACATGTGTGGTTGTGTGTACACACATACATACAACCACATACATATATAAACACCTGTATATATATTTTAAATCAATCTATATTCTCAAGAACTTGACAGACAAAAAAAAAAATGCTATTTAGTAATCTGAAACACAAAACAAATGGGTGGGTTGACAAGAACTTGGTTAATTTATAACCATCACAGCT